TTGCGGAGTATTAAGGTGCAAGCCACCCAAAAGGGCAAATAACCAGATTGTTTTTTACAGCTTGGACTAAATTTCAAAAGCAGGTTTAACATATTTGATTAGAATTTGGTTTAAAACCTTGAATTTGTGCTTTTTTTTAATCTATTCAACTGGTGTCAACTCTTCCGAGGTTAAATGGATGTAAAAAGAATCCTAATCCTTAACCTCAACCAACAAAACATGTCAATGTGGGAAGGGGGGGTATTTGGAAAGCAGTGGAAAAATGTTTTTATACTGATACTTTTCATGAGAAATTTTGTGAAGCACTTATAGTGATTCCTTTGAAAAATGCAACCCTGACTTTGGGGAGTTCAAAAGGCTCTGAGATTCAAATTCAGGAAACTCACAAGTTAATAGTTTAAATAAATGCAACAGCAAAATGGCTTTAGACTGTTCAGCCTTCTTTTTATCAGTTGAAAATTATCATTTCTCTGAACGTGACATAAATAATAACAATAAACAATATTTATCTAATGTGCGTCTTTAATCTCAGACCTTAAATGGCTTCATTATAATGTTTGTTTTTTTCTGATGCTAAAAGCTTACTCTGTTTTTAAGTTTTGTTCCCACGGTAACACGTTTTGACACAGAAAAATGTCAAAAATATATGGCCTGTATTTATATAGACAATATTTAGTCATTTTACCCATTCATGGACACATTCACACACTAATGGCATGAAGCTATTGATAATGTTTTACTACTGATAAAAAAAAAACTCCAACTGCAGGCAAGGTGGGGGAAGCATCTTGCCCAAGGAGACAGAATGGGATGGAAGAAGTGCTCGAACCAGCTACAGGACAAACCCGTCACTCTTGTGACTTCAAACCTTCCAGCTGTTTAGCTATTTTGTGTTAACTGAAAAGACAAAGGGGTTTTTTGTTGTTTTTTTAAACATCCCTCCATCCTATACCCACTTATTCTTGCAGGATTAAGGGGATTACTGAAAACAATCAACACAATTTACTCTTTCAGTCCATACACTTGCTCCTCTTCAAGAATTAAAATATGCTGCTGCACATTTCTAACTCAAGGTGCAAACAAGCTAAACGTTTCTGAGAGGACTGCAGGACTGTTAAAAGACTGGAGGGTGGTAGATAGATTGAAGCCTTACTGCAATGGGTCCGGGGTTATTTTCCACACCATCTACCTTGAAAAACAGCAGAGAAAGCAAGTAGCAAAGGGAGCACCCGCGCACTCTCTTTCCAAAAGCCAATTGCAAGTCAGTGTTTGCTTACTGCAGGCTTTAAGATGAAGGATAGCATTTTGTGCATACATACAGAAAAATATATAGCCAAGGACACTCCAGTTTGGAGTGAAAAACAAGCCGAGCTCATAGATGGGGGTCATGAGGGGCGGCCTTGGGCAACGGAAGGCGGGGGAGAGGAGAGCAGAGCAGAGTCAGCCTTGCCCTCAGCCATGGCATCCTTTTATTGCCAGCTTCATAAGCCTGGAGGGATTGAGGTAGTGGGGGTGGAGGGGTGGGGGGTTTACCCATTCCATAGAATTTAGCTGTAAAAATGCACCCACTTGCATACAGAGTGCAGGCCTCCCAGCAGAAACACAGGCTTACAAAAAAAAGGGGTGAGATCACTCCCAAATGAAGGCTTTGTTGGTGTGCCAGTGTCAGTGTTGCCCTCTCTGGCCTACCAAAACCTTGGCAACTAGGTTCTGTCTGCTGGAAACAACTAGGACAATGGGGTGAATGCCGCAATGAAAAATATGGTTTCTGGGATTTGAGCTCACAGGCATAAAAACAGGCAGGGAAATAATAAATAAGGAGACAGAGGAATGGAAATGCATCTGGCCCACTAGCCTGGTTTCCTACCATGGGATGGTGCAGCAAGACTACCTGGCCAAAATAAAAAAAAAAAAAAATATAAACTGTCAGATATGCAGCCACAAGCACAGACAGTTGGAAATAAAAAACTATAGTGGGAAAAAGCACAAAGCTATTTATTGTAACTAAACATCAGTTAGCCCCTGAAGCTAAAACTTTCTACATTTAATAGCTTGGACATGAAGATCTTCAAAAACATAAGGAAAAAAAAGGAGGGAGGGGAAAAGTATTGATGGTGTCCATGGCAACCAAATGTAGATCATGGAAAAGAGACAGTACAGCCTGAAGTCAGGAAGACCACCTTCTCACCAACTCCCTTCTGTAGCCCTCAGACAACCCGCCATCAAGGTGGGAGGAAACAGCAAACAGTCAGCAGAGGATGGAAAAGAGGAAGAAGGAAAATGCAGCAGCCTGAAGGGTGTTTCAAACTGAGACAATCCCGTTCCTGTTGTTTTGTTTGGTCGAGTAAAAAAGACCAGGCCCAGACAGCACAGCAAGACGTCTGCTGCACAGGGATACACATAGAAAAACCTTTGATTTCCTGCTCCTCTGATTTTAAACATACAGATAGCATGCTTCATCTGACCTCTTTTAATTTGCTCTCCTCTGTTACTGAGGAAGAAACAGAAAAAAAAAAAGGAAAAAAAAAAAAAAAGAAAAAAGGGAGCGCTCTCTTGTTTCCTCTCCGGGACTAAACAATCCCAGTCTAATTTATTTTTTGAGGACAGAATATGTACATGTGTTAATGGGAAAGTCGAATCAAATTAACTATAATTAGTCAAACTGAGAAGTGTGCTGAGGCAGAGGTATGTTACATGAGAGACTTGTTCATTGCTGGAAAATATCACTCCTCCCTGCAAAACCCACCAACACCCACCCTGCTCGCTTCAACCTTTCCTGAGCTCAGGCTGCATGTGGCACCCGTTCACAAAGATACAAAAAAAATAGCTTCTGACATACATTTTTCCAAGAAAGACCTGCAAGTAAATCGTTTCAAGCAGGCTATTCTGCCGCTCTTAAACGCATCAAAGCAATATGGCAGATATTCAATGAGAAGAAGCATGCATCCATTTGGAAGGTCTCCAACCCGTAGAAGAGAAGATGGATTTACCGGTACTAGTTCCTGCCTTCTGTCCATCGCAGGGCAACACAGAGACAAACAACCACACACACACTCCCACCTAAGGGGACTTTTAGAGACGCCAATTAACAACCATGTTTTTGGACTGTGGGAGGAAGCCGGAGTACCCGGAGAGAACCCACGCATACTCAGGGAGAACATGCAAACTACATGCAGAAAGACAAGGAAAAGTACATATATAAGCCGCATCGGGCTATAAGTCGCTGATATCTATTTAACTGTCTCACCAAACCTGTAGGGGGAGCTCTACATCCTGAAGTAGGGATGAAGAAGAATGCTAGCTCCTGTTAGCTTGATGGCTCCAAGCCATTATAGCTTCTTCTGAAAGATGGGGCTTTGTCGGCTCTTAATTTCAGCGCTGCTGGAGTTGTGCAGTCTCTTCATTGGTTCGAAAGCTTTAATGCGTCAAATAAATGTCAAAATGTGTGAATTTGGGACATTTGTTCTGTGTCGTGCCTGCTGCTAGCATGTTCTTGTGCTAAATGATAATTAGCCCCCTTATTCTTTCATTTCCAACTTTGACTTCCCCCTCTGGTGGTTAGGAAAAATCCACAGAAAAACTGCACCTTATTTTAAGCCACATGGTTCAAAGCATGGGGAAAAAAGTAGCAGCTTATAGTCCGGAAAATACGGTAAATAGCAAATCAGGTAATCACGTGGCATCACCTGAATCCATTAAGGCATTAAGATAACTCGCTAAAGTTCAATGCAAGAATCAGAACAGGGCAAGAAGGGGATTCAAATAATTGATAGCGAGGTGTTCTGAGTTTTATACAAAACTGCTGATCTGCTGAGATTTCATAAGGAATAAGTAAATCTTAGAATGGTCTGAAAATGACAAAATATAAGGGGGCAATTTTTGGGGGATAAAAAAACATAAAAGCCACAAGCAGCTCAAATAATCATCTTTTAAAGGGAAAGTGTGCATAATGTCATTTCTAGACACACATTATCTGAACCTTGAAATAAATGGATTACAGCAATAAAGATCACACCATTCACCAAACCTAATAGCTGACTACTGGAAAGTCAGACTACGATTTACAGAGCTTGACCAGAATATTGCTGCCTGCTCAGATGAGCCTTTGTAGGGTCCAAATATTGCATAAGCCAAAGAAAATACTGAATGTTTAGACAATGTAATAATGGTTGTAGGGAATATTTTATTTGGCCGTTTTGGGATGTATTGGATAATGAATAACTTCACAGCAACCGCTGATGGCATTTTCTCAATGTGGACTAAAATCCTGATAGTAGTGTTGCTTGTTTGAGTTTAAGTCGACAAGAATAAAGGAGTTATGAAAGCAAAAGAGGTTAAAAACAGATTAAGACAGGTGAAAATAATAAAGTTAGCAAAAGTATAAAATAACTGCATACCAGATGTATTCAGTTTTCCACAAAACAGCTATTTTTGACAGTCTGCAGAATAAAATCGCTTCTACATACTTTATATCATATAATACCATATCAATATATCCTTTTTCTGAATCGGTCATTTTAATCTGACCAATTAGATAATTGTTTCATTCTATATTGTATCACTCTATAATCTTAAGTTTCTGCAAAACATCTTTGTTCTTCTAAATGGAAAGTTTTAAATTTTTCGTAATCAAATCTGTCATGTTTTACTCAGACATCAAACAGGAATCATGTTTTTTTTTTTTTTTCAGAAGCAACTTAACACTCAAGAGGAGAAATATTTTGCCCAATTTGAAAAGTTTTTCTACTGTGTTCCAGAGTAAAGATGAGGTCGTTATTATAAAGGAAAATCTTTCTCTGAAGTAGACTGAAAACTTTCTTAATTTGGTTCCTTGAGACTTTTTTGTTTGAGAGGCAGTGGTTTAAATAAAGAAACCATCTGTACCTCTAAAAGGAGCATTTGGTTTTCATCTGGCAGCTTTCAAAAGAGCAAACAGAGAAAAATCCTCGAGCAAATGATCAAAATGAAGAGTTACGATTTGCAAGCCGTGTTTTACTAACCTGCATGTTCCAGCAACATTTTAGCAATGTCCAGATGTCCATTGATCAGGGCATCATGCAGGGGACTAACTCCTCCAACCTGGTCGGTGAGGACAGGAGCGGGGCGGTGAAGCAGCAGTGCTCTCACACATTCAGTGCTGCCGTGGTTGCACGCCTCATGGAGAGGAGTCCAGCCTGCATGGTCTGCAAAGCACAAACAAAGCAAGGACTTAAAACAGAGCAAGCACGCAAACAAAGCTCGCTTAAGTCAAATAAGAAGTATTAAACCTAAACTTAAATCATTGATAGTTTTCTCCTGATCAATCCTGTAGCAAAGCTTTTCATGCCAGATAAGTGTTGATGCCAATTGTCTACATATTAATCTGAATGTCCCAACAAGTAAAAACAAAATAAGATCTTTCTTTAGTGAATCATTTCTCACAGATATGCATTTATTTTCTATGCAAACAGAAAATAAATGATTTTTTTGGAGGGAAGAAGATTATAGTTAATTGCTGCTGTATTATTTCAATAATGGCTGATAAGATGTTAAATATTAGCCCCCCTACATCGTTCTCTAAACAACAAATGCCATGTTACAAATCATTTGTTATCTGCAAACTACCATAAAATAACACAAGTTATTACATACAGGGACATAAAAAAAAGTCATTCAGAAATAACGAAAAGGTTTTATATACATGTATATAAATATACATTTTTGTACATTTATCAATGTAGAAATCTATAATCATCCCGAGACCTAAACCCACCCCACTCTCTTTCTAGACACACCCTTTACATTTTAGCTAAAGGTTAAACCTCGGAGACGACGCAGTCCGTTTTCTTGTCTCCTTTTCTTCTCCCCATTGTCAATCGCTCTTCGAACAGAACAGGCGGCGCCGCTACAGGAACGACAGACGGTTTCCAGAAAAATGGAAACGCGAGGGAGTCTTACCTTTAACATTGATGTCTGTGCCAGGAAGTGCCAGGATCTGAAGCACCGTTTCCACTTGGTTCCTCTTGCAAGCTCTGTGTAGGAGGGTCTCTCCTTTAACCAGGAAACACACACACACACACACACCCAGACGCACGCCGAAATGGACAAACACACCCAAAAAAGAAAGAAGAGGCAGATGAGAAGAGATATGTCCCAAATTTTCTTGTGCCTGATGTCCTTCCCATTGTCCCCAATGCGTATGAAACACACACCAATAAAATACCACTGAAATGTCCCCAAACACATAAAAAACTGACCTAAAAAAAGTACGACCCACCAATGAGGATGAGATTTAAGGCGTGATGAGAAAAGGGGGGTGATCTTTCAAGGGGGAAAAAAAAAAGAGACGAGAGGAAAAGAAATTATAGATGAAGTTGGGTTAATTTGGCTCTTTTACAGAGATTTTCCAGATACACCCCGACAAAAAACGTTAATATCGTGGCAGACAGCGAGTTTATAAAAGGATTTGTGAGAAAGCAGCTTCCTGTCTACTGGTTTCTGTATTCTTACTTGAGGGGAAGTTATGGTAGAGAGCCCACGCACAAAGACTCTGAAAGGATGTTTCACAGATTTTGGGTTGAAAAGCTCCACTGGGCATTCCAAGTTTCACCACGTGGTTTTCATTCAGCAAACTACTAGAGAAAAAGATGGTGGGGAAAAAAAAAACTCACAGAACTCAATCTACATTTTTAAACAATTTTCTTTCCTCCTTGAATTCACCACTTTTTCTGATACAATGCTAAAAAGAAAAAGAAAAAAAAAGAAAATAAGGAATATATTAGGGAATGAATCCCCCTCTTTTTCATGTATGGCTGAACTTCAGAGAGGAAGTTAAAGGCCAAGCATGAGTGGCTGTATAATGCAGACCTTCAAAACCTGTAATAAATGCTTTACTGGTTCTCCCCAGGATGTCTTGCCCAGACAGAGGCACCCCACAAACGCACACAGAGCAAAGACTGGGGCAAAAAGGACGACGGGAGGGGCAACAGGGAAGGAAGGCATGGTAAGGAACAAGGAGTGATGGAGAACGGAAAAGCATATTTAGCATTTCAAAGCCTGTCTGTTAAATACTGACTCTGCTGGTTCTAAATCATTTTGGAGGAACGTCCTTTGGTTCTGACTTATTTCTCTTAATAGTAATAAACCATTCTGTGTATTTCGGGAAAACTGGTTTTGTCTCTGAATAATATTCACATGTTTATTGTAAAAAAAAAAAAAAACACTGCAAAAAAGAAAATAAAAGACTTTTTCGCAGATTAATTACATAAAAAAACTACTTTTGCTGCGATTACATGTCTCAGCTCAGAGAAAAATGTCTTGATCTTTCAATTTCTTAAAAAACATTGGCAAAAACATTTTTCTGAACCACCATCTTTTTCTTGAATTTTCTAGTCCAACTTTAAATTGTTTAAGTATGAGGCTTCTCTGTAGTCAGAGGTGAATTTAAAACAGAAGCAGAGCCTGAACTCCCCTTTTGCGCAATAGTAGAGCACCCTCAGGACACTGACATGCATCATGCTTGTAGCTCTGCTCTGCAACACCAACAACAGCCAAAACAGAGATTTTCCCTGGTACTAACGATAAGATCTAGCAATACCTGCACTGAGAAGTCCTTCCTGATATGATCAAAAGCTATTGGTCACAAAGCTTAAGCTGAAACCAGACTCTGTATAAACCAGCAGCGAACAGAAACTCCAGCCCAACTAATCTGGTTTATAACCTTTAATTGTAAAGCTGATTTTAAAGGTGGTCATATATTGCCCTAATTTATGAGCTACATTCACCATAAAGTTAGCAATCTATTGTGCAATGTGGATAAAGCTTTGAGAATCTACTCTGCGGCTGAGGAACTGATTGTAGATCGGCATGCTCCATTTAAAATTTACTTCCTCTTACATTTTACAATTGGAATGATGCGTTTCACATTTCACATGATGAAAACAGATGAAATTATAAACACTTCAGTCTGTTTATAAAAACTAAATTTCAATGCTACATCAGGTATCATCTTTGGATTTTTATTAAAACAAAGCAGCCTATCACCAAATAAAAAAAATAAAACCCAGCTAAACAGACAGAGGAAGCAAGTCCAAACCACAGTCCTTAATGAGTGAGCTTTAGAGTGAGGTATGTCCGTTTTTTTTGTGGGCCGCTGCGCAATTACTGTGCGCTAAAATGCTGCGATTAAACAACCATTTCACTGCACCTTATGTGTACACATCCTCGCAAATGCCAGAACCAATCCGCACAGTGTTAAATCACTTTAATGGCTCCAATTTGGACACAACGCCTCTATTATAGGGGTAATTGCATGCTCAGCATTTACAAGCACGGAAAGGATAAATCCGCCTGTCCTTTTCTATAAATCCCCTGTTTCACACTTTAATAGAAAAGTTAAATATACGTGTTGCTGCTTTATATCCCCTCGGTCTGCTTGCTTTTCGCCTGTAAAGAGCCGCTTGGCCCGCTGATCCTCCGGACCAAAAAGCTGCTGGGAGCCTGTAACAATGCCATTTGTCAGGAATTTGTTAGGAGGGAATTCTGCGGCCAGTTATTGAATCTATTTAAAACTGTTTGAAGAGCACTACTGTCACTGGCTCCAGAAGCCATGGCAGCCAAAATAATTTCCCAAAGCCAAGATTAGTGCAGCTCCGCTGGAAATTTTTTCCTCTTTATTTTTATAAATCTTTTTATTGAAAAGTCAGAGGTAGAAACAATAAACCGTCATCATGGTTACAAAAGAGTTTTTGTTTTTCAAACTATATACACTTTATTTTTAAAAAGCAATGTTTGCAGCAAATGGTTCAAAATTCTACCAGCTAAGACAAAGGATCAGGTTTAATTATTGTGACTGTAAAAAACAAAGCAAAAGTTTCTGGATGTTCTTTACCAAATTATATATCCCCAATATAAAGTATTTGGGTCAATTTAGAGTTACACTGTGAAAAATACTGAAAGACTTTAAAAAACAAAGAGTACACTCTTTCAATACTTTTAAATATCTATCGATCTATCTATCATATATCTCAATACGCAGCTTTATGAAGAGAAGACAGGCGAAGGTCAGCAGATAGCATGCATACTGCCAGCTGTCAGAATATCAGCATTCTATATGAAAAGATAAAGTCTAGTCTGGAAGAATAGGACAAAGGCAGCGCAGCTGCTGTGATTGTGCAGGAACTCTATGGTTAGAAATTCTTTTAAGCATGGGCATGTGAATAAACTTCCAGATTAAAGTATAGACAAAAGTTCCTAAAATGTTGACAACAGGACAAATGTTGCTGCATGACAGCTTTCTGTATAGTAAACCATCTGCTGAGCGGCAACAAAGCATACATTTGAAGGCTCTCTATATACCTAGGTGAAATTGTTTCTGTGCCATTTCTCCCTCTGTACAAAAAAAAAATACTTTTTTGACCATCAACAATTTAGGTTCTACAAAAAGTTAAAGTAACAACTAAATACAATCTGATGGAAATAGGAAATAAATAATAACTACAATCAACAGATAATGTGAATTTTAAGAAAATTCAAGACATGAGGTTGATTTTTTTTGGTTTGTTCATCGTTTTCAGGTCTTCCAGGTTTTACACATGGAGCTTTTTACTCGGAAGCCACCGTTTTGCAGAGCATGCCCATATTTTCAGGAAATAAGTCCACATTTACCTGAAAATTATTAACTTTCTGTACCCTAAGCATGTCAATAAGCCTAAAATTAAGCAT